GGATTGGATGGCCAAATTAGATTTACAATACGCTTACCTCACGGTTGCTATAGCAGACCAACATCAAAATTTTCTCCTGTTGGGGGCGTGGCTAACCGCCGGACGAAATGGATGCCTAATCCTGAGTTCCGGCATCTGGGCTAACAATCCAGCGCCATCCTAGCATTCAGCAAGCGGGAAAAGCTAAAGACAGCAAGATGTCACAACCTAAGGCAAGAAAGAACACTTCTAAAGCCGAAAAACTAAATTTCTTTGGCCAAAAACCAAATCAACAGGCGGGCGACTATCAGGTGGCCACTCAGGACGGCGGAGAGGAGGTAGAACATGGCGATCTTTCACCAACTACTGCGGGCAAAGAAGAAGTGCTTACCCCAAGCCACCTCGCAAAAGCACTGGATGCTCTCTCGAATAAACTTATCACCGCGTGGCAGCACTCCATGGACTCCCTGCGCAAGGATGTCCAGGAGCTGGGCCGCAGAACGGCACACATGGAATCCAAAATGTACGACTTCGCGACGGCTCATAATGATCTGGCGGATCACGCAGAGAATATAACAGACAAGATAACGCTCCTGTAGTATAAACTAGCCGACCTGGAAGATCGGTCGAGGAGAAACAATCTCCGGCTCCGAGGAGTGCCAGAATCAGTGTCACAGACGGAACTGCCAGCCTACATTAGAGGCCTGCTCAAGGCCTACGGCCCAGAGGTACCAACAGACATGCTCTTAGTCGATTGAGCACATCGGGTCCCGCGCCACCTGCCTGATACCACGCCAAGAGATGTGCTCATTCGCATCCACTACTTTCACATTAAGGAGCATATCCTCCGTGTAAGTAGGAACAAAAGCAGACCTCATGACGATTACCCCACTGTTCAACTATTCACAGACTTGTCTGCAACCACACTCCGACGGCGAAAAGACTTTGCTCCAATTACCGACGCCCTCCGCACAAATGGCATAAGATACAGATGGGGATTCCCCACCAAACTGCTAGCACACAAGGATGGCAGCTTCCAGGCCATTATGTCACCGGAGGACGGACTTAAAAAACTGGAAGCTTGGGGCATTACCATACAAGAGAACGCCGACACAGCCAACACACAAGTGGGGAGGCTCCGTCTAGAGTGGATGAAACCACCCTCCAAACGCTAGAGTCGACTGTTGATCGGAGGAGTAAATCCGCAAGTATTCCGAGCCTGATAGCTCACTGCACCCTTCCATGTCACCTGGGCCTCTGGCCCTCATGAACTTGCTAGCTACAGACACTCTCCTCCAATGTATTGCGTTTGAACCATTTGTGTGTCAGAGGCGGTGAGTCGGGTCCTGGGCGCCTCGGCCCGCCCGCCCTCCTCCGAGGGGGGAGGCCGGGCGGGAGGATGCGGCCCGGGGCTGGGCGAATGGGCTTGGAATTGATTAAATGCTTTGCCGCCACAAGATATAACATGCTTAAATGTATAACGATTGTGTAACGCCCTTGAAAAGTGCATTGCTGTTGTGCTGTCTAGGCGCTCCGGACTTGCTCTGGAGCCGAGGTGCACAATTAGAGAGCAAAGATACCGCACTGCTGCTGAACCATAAGGTTGAAACCGGGAGAGAGAGAGAGGAGACTGGAGAGCGGAGGCCTTGGCCTCCTCCCTTCCGCCTGAAGCGGACTGGTGGAGCGCCGACGCGGCCATGACCCAGTCAAAAAAAAAAAAAGACGAGGAGAGAGGGGGGGCCTTGGGAAGACATGGAAATCTAGATAAGCGGTAAAACTCCTAAACAGACTGACTCCTGGCACAAATCCTCACCTCTGAGTTACCCCCTTGTAAGACCTTCCCCTGCTACACGCTAACCCGTGTAACCCTTTCTGACCAAAGACATAATGACAACCGCTACAGCCCAAAAGCCACGTACACTGGAACCTACTGTTCCTAACCCCATGGTGCACCATTTATGCACCACACTCCCCTTCGGGGAAACCTGTACATATTTACTCCCAATGTTCAAACCCGACCCAAACCAACACCCTCCCACCCAAGTTTTAAACTCCCTTAAAGGAACGCTACTCATAATTATATGTCACCCACGCACACCGAATACCGAGGTCATGATTCAGAAAAGAACTACACCTTACCTTAAAAATTCATAACAATACGCTCCATTAATGTTCGCGGACTAAATACGCCGCACAAGAGACGAGTTCTACTGAACTCAGTGAAGAAAGACAGAATAGATGTTCTTTGCATTCAAGAGACACATTTTGTACAAAACCGCACGCCTGAATTTGCACTTAAGGACTACCCGACCCAGTTCCATTCATCCCACTCATCCAAAACCAGAGGGGTATCCATTCTGATACACAACTCACTTGCATTCGAACTCCTACAACTCAAACAGGACACGCAAGGGAGATACATTATTCTACACTGTATGATCAACAACAAGACATACACATTAGTCACAATATATGGCACAAACTCTAACCAGCGAAATTTCCTCCATCACGTGCTCTCTAAGATACCAGCGCCACAATTACCCTATTTGATCATGTGTGGGGACTTAAACCACATACTACACCCCCACTTGGACACAACGGTGCCCCAGCAAACTCGAAGACACACATCCCTCACATCCAAGTGCAAAGCGCTCACCAAATTACTTATGGAATATGACATATACGACGCTTGGAGAACCAAGCACCCCAATGATCGGGAATACACCTACTTCTCCCCTATGCACAAGTCGCACTCGCGGATAGACCATGCACTAGTGGCCCGAACCTTTTTACCTTCAATAGAAGATTGTCACATAGGCGACATAATTTGGACGGATCACGCCCCAATAGACCTAACCCTCACGGATACCTTCTCACACAGGGGGAAAACCCTGTGGCGTCTGCCCGACTACTTACTAAACAACCATGAATTTAAAACGTCGTTACAATCAGAACTCACCTCATACTTCCATACAAATGACACACATGACGTTTCCCCTGGGACAATATGGCAAGTACACAAAGCGATCTTAAGAGGCCTAGCAATCAGTAAAGCAGCCTACATCAAACGCACAGCACTACAAGAATACACTACCCTCCTAAAAACATTGCGAGACCAAACAAACGAACAGCTACTCAAACCAACAGAGACAGGACTGAATGCTATAACGCAAACAAACAAGAAACTCAATGAGTACCTGCTAGCCAAAACAACGTCCACACTACAAAGACTCCGCACCCACACGTACTGTCAGGGCAACAAAGCAAGCAAAGCTTTAGCCTCCCTTCCACGACATAAACAAAGCCAATCTAAAATACCTTACCTCAACCTGCCAGACGGCACAAAGCTTTTTGACCCTCAAGACATCAACAATAACATGGCATTGTACTACACATCGCTGTACAATCTCAAAAATGACCCCAACACGCACCAGCCAACACACCAAGAAATACAAACATTCCTACTCCAGGCCAACCTTCCCACGCTAAACACAAGTCAGCAAAATGCTCTACAGGCTGAAATCACACTCTCAGAGCTTACAGAAGCTATCATGGCCCTCCCATCGGGGAAATCACCGGGCCCCGATGGATTCACGAACACCTACTACAAGACATACTTCGACACCCTAGGCCCGTACCTACTCAAAGCATTGAACCATATCATAGACACAGGAACTATGCCACCAGAAATGCTCCTAGCTCATATTGCAACGATACCGAAACCCGGAAAACCACCAACCACACCCCAAAACATGAGACCCATCTCTCTACTTAACAAAACTCCTAGCAAAAATTTATGCGAATAGAGTGTCACGTATGCTCCCCTCCCTAATACACGAGGATCAGGTGGGTTTCGTCACGGGCAGGCAGGGCGCAGATGGCACAAGGAAACTACTCAATATCCTGCACAGTGCGAGACGAGGGGGGAGGCCCAGTGCATTTCTGTCACTCGATGCCGAAAAAGCCTTTGACAGACTGCACTGGAGCTTCCTAACAGCTGTCCTCGCAAAATATCACTTTCCCCCGAGATTCATGTCTCTAGTATCAGCACTATACTCTGCCCCGTGTGCCAAGGTAGCAAATAGCGGCTTTCAATCCATAAAATTCCCAATCACGAATGGGACCAGACAGGGTTGCCCCCTTTCCCCCCTCCTTTACGTTTTAGCCCTGGAACCTTTAGCGCACCTCATACGAAATGACCCACAGATACAGGGAATTAAAGCAGGGAAAACGGAACACAAGATCACAATGTTTGCAGATGACATCATGCTAACAATCACGAATCCACGCACGTCACTGCCACGCATCAAGGCCCACTTATCGGCATACAGTGCCTGCTCATATTATAAACTGAACATAACTAAGACAAAGGCAATGCACCTCTTCTTATCACACAAGACACTAAGCAGTTTGAAGGCTACATACGCGTATCAATGGGACAACAATAGTCTCACATTCCTAGGTATAGACTTCCCAACCGATCCTCAGCTCCTCTTCCAAGCTAATTATGGAACGATAGCCAAAGAAATCAAACAACGATTATCTACCTGTAAGGGAAAGTATGTATCCTAGCTCGGCCGAACAGCGGCCATAAAAATGATTCTCCTCCCCAAACTGCAGTACTTATTCCGCACTCTACCCATTGCACTCCCACCAATCTACCTGAAAAACATCCAAAAGACACTCAGTGACTACATTTGGAACTACAAATAACCTAGAGTAGCAGCTACGATTCTCCATAGACCATTCAAAGAAGGAGGCCTAGGTGTACCCAACATAGCCAAGTACTACACAGCATCGCAACTGAACCCATTAATTTCCGTACACCATCCCAATACCCTGCCGACCTGGCTCAATATAGAGGCTTCATACACAGAGAACCACACGCTCAAAGAACTTATGTGGCTCCCATCCCATCTCAGACCCAAATACGACCATATACTACCTACCACATCCCTAACCCTCTCTATGTGGGATGCACATCAAAAGCAAACCAAAGAAAAAGTCTCAATTTCGCCAACAACCCCTCTTATTGCAATCACGCCCCTTCTCCCCACTTTCGCTGTGGCATATTGGACCGCATGCGGAATCTCCCAAATACAACAACTACTAGATGGCCAAACCATACACTCATTCCTATACCTCCAAACTAAATTTGGACTGCCCAAATCTGCCTTTCTCTCCTATCTCCAGATTAAATCTTGGCTCACAAGGCATTTGCCCATAACAGCTACAGAAACACACAAAACAACAAACTCCTATATACCTCAAATCGTGGAACTTTGCACTAAAAAGCGAAACCCCACGAAAATCATTTCTTCGCTATATGCACTCATTACAAAACAACCTCATACAGGGAAACCCTCCTTTGCCAGGGCATGGGAATCAGACTTCAGGGAAACACTAGACCAAACACAGTGGTCCAAAATCTACATAGCTAACAAGACACTTACCCTGTGCGCTACTCATATAGAATTAACCAGGAAGATCCTCTACCGATGGTATATGGTGCCTACGAGGCTCAAACACATGGACCCTAACAGGTCAGATCTATGCTGGAGATGCAAATCAGAACCGGGCACTATGTACCACATATGGTGGACATGTCAAAAAATTACAAAGTTCTGGGAATCAGTGAGGCAAATAATACAGGACTCAGCTGGGGTAACGATACCATTAAGACCGGAAATCTACCTATTGCAACTCCTCCCAAGTAACATGCCAAAACCTGTAAAATATCTGTCCTACCATATTATAGTAGCAGCTCTCTCCACAATCAGTAAAGCCTGGCTCTCTGAGGCCCCTCCAAATGTTAATCTAAGTATCCAAACGGTACAAACCACTAAGTTATATGAGGTTATGGCTAGACAGACCAAACCCCCCAAACCGTTCTGGAGGGAGGCATGGAAATTATGGGAATCATACCTACCCAACAGGGAAGTGGCAACCCTCGCCCAATCCGCCTCTTGTCTCTGAGACCCGCTCAAACTGAAGCGCAGACATTTAACCACACACGCCTTCACATACAATGGTAGGCATATAAGGACGAAAAGTGTTTTGTGTTTGTTGTAACCACTGTTCCTCTTCTGTAACCACTGCGCTTTTACTTGTACACTCATTTATCTTGTTGTGATATAAAACCAATAAAAAAGAATTATAATAATAACATTTTCTCCTGTTCATGTGGCAGGGACGAAAATGGAGGTTCAGGTGTCTCCCATTTGGCCTGTCGTCAGCTCAGTGATGTTTCGCCAAGATCATGAAACCCGTGGTTGCTCAATTAAGGAGTCGAGGCATTTTGCTTATCATTTATCTGGACGATATCCTCATTTTAGCGCAGTCGGCCAACCTTTTCCACACACACCTGACGTGGACCCTGACGTTGTTACAAAACCTGGGTTTCCTTATCTATTGGGAAAAGTCCGTCATGGCTCTTTCTCAACGTACTGAATTCCTGGGACTAATGGTCGATTCAACTCTTCAGACTCTACATCTACCAACATCAAAGCTGGTAAATATAAAAAAAGAAATAAGACGCACGTTGGCTGTTCCCCAACTCTCCATTAAACACTTGGCACGGGTCATTGGACTCCTCACCACTTCCATCTAAGCCATATTCCCAGGTCCTCTACACTATCGGGCACTTCAACGGCTGCAAGTCTCTTACCTCAGAGGCGGAGCATTTTACAAAGACATGGTGACATTGGACAAGGAGGCGAAAGACGAGCTTCATTGGTGGCTTCTCCACATGAAAGCCTGGAATGGACGTGCTATATTTGGAACAACCCCAGACCTGATCATAGAATCTGATGCGAGCTTACACACTTGGGGCAGATGGTCGGATCTAGAATCAACACTATATATCAATTGTCTGGAACTTCTGGCCGGATCCTTTGCTGTGCGCAGCCTCTCTCCAACCCACTCCGAATGCACAATCCTACCTAAGATGGACAAATATTTCAGCGGTCAGATACATCAACCATCTAGGAGGCACGAAGTCCAAAGTGCTGGCAAACATGGCTTGCGAGTTTTTGCAATTTTATCTTATGCACAACATTTCGCTGACAGCGGAATACATTCCTGGCCTCTCAAACACCACAGGGGACTGGTACTCCCGCCACCTCATAGATTTCAGCGACGGGCATCTGGAGCCTTTAATATTCCAGAAAATCACAGACGTGGGGATCATTGGGAATAGATCTATTTGCCTCTCGACTGAATGCTTAAACCCCTCATTTTTTTAAGCTGGAGACCAGACCCAACGGCTCTGGCAACAAACGCTTTTTCCCAAGATTGGTCTACGGAAAAGAACTACGCATTTCCCCTATTCGCACTGATTCCTTGTTGCCCGCTTCACCTACATCCAGGGCCGGACTGGCCCACCAGGATACTGGGAAATTTCCTCGTGGGCCACGGCACCTGGGGCAGGAAAGACAGCCCTAATCATCAGGCTAATTTCATTAAAATAATTTTCCCCTCGGACTGTACCAGCCTGTGTCAGTCCGAGGGGAGTAAAGAGGGAGGAGCTAGGGGCTGGTGCGGCCAAAATAAGGCTGCTAGCAGCCAGAGGGAGACCTGTCAGTCTCCCTTCAAAATGTATATCAATTTCGGCCGCATGCCCTCTGCATGCAAGCCCCGCCTCCTGAACATAACTCCACCTCTCATGCACAAGCTCCACCCCAATCATATTGCGGACCTCGCTGAAAGGAAGAAGCCACAAAGTGGCAACTTCACCTACAGTGCCAGGTAAGCTTCAGCCATGATAGTGATAGTGGTTGTGAGTGACCTTGTGTGTGCCTGAGAGTGAGTGAGCTTGTTTGTGTGTGCGCCTGCTAGTGAGTGAGCTTGTGTGTGTGTGTGCCTGCTAATGAGTGATCTTGTGTGTGTGCCTGCTAGTGAGTGAGCTTGTGTGTGTGTCTGCTAGTGAGTGAGTTTGTGTGTGTGAGAGCGCCTGCTAGTGAGTGAGCTTGTGTGTGTGTCTGCCTGCTAGTGAATGAGCTTGTGTGTGTGTATGCTAGTGAGTGAGCTTGTGTGTGTGTCTGCTAGTGAGTGAGAAAAACTGGGTAATGAGTGGTATTTTTCTCTAGACTAATTACTATTCCAAGGTAAAATCCTACCCTTTGAATCCTTTGTAAACTATCTAACTCGAATTTTTTTTCATATGTTAGAGTCAAATGTTTTTTACAAAAACATTTGGTCCAAGTTAAAGATTATAGGAATAAGGTTCTAAGGATGTTATTCTCCAATGATAACAACTCCAAGATATTAGTTAAAGCGATAAAATTAATCAGAACTATAAATTTGATGGACACGTTTCCCCAATTGATGGGAGAAATAGCTTGGGACACAATTAAAGGACCACTATAGTGAACGGAAAACAAACTTGTTTTCCTGGCACTATAGTGTTAATAGGTCCCCCCCACCCTCATGGCCCCTCTCCCGCCAGGCTGCAGTGGGAGGAAGGGGTTAAATTGGCAAACAGTGTCTACTAGGTGAGATGCTGTTTATGGGTACATTTAAAAAAAATATAAAAGCAGAATGTAGAGGCAGTTTTGCACAGACTTATGGAATATGGATTGAAGGTGAATTTGGATAAATGCCAATTCATGCAGTATTGTCTTGGAGTTTGTGCTCATTTAATTGACAAACATGGGCTGCACACAACGCATGAGAAAGTCAATGCCTTACAAAATGCTCTGACTCCACATGTGACACGACTGAGATCCTGTTTTGGTCTGTTAAATTATTACAATCAACTTGCCGAATTTAGCTGTACCTTTTGCATCATCTTTAAGAGAGTAAACGACAATGGTGCTAGACAGAATAATGTGCTTCACCTTTCTATTAGTCAAAATAACTAGTTCAAAGTTCACATCCTTTGGTACATTTTCCTTCCACATCACCTTGTGGACTGCGGGTATTTCTGTCTCATTCCATGGCTGATGGTAGAGATAGTCTAGTGACTTTTGCCTCTAGATCACTCACAGCTGCAGAAAGAAATACTCTCAAATAGATAAAGAGGCTCTGGAAATCTTATGAGCAGTAAAGCAGTAAAGAAATTCCATCTTTATATATGGTTTACTCCTCACACTGCTTACGGACCATAAACCCTTATTTACAATTTTTAACCCACAGAAATTATCTCAATCACAAAAGCAGCAAGGCTTCAGATACGATATCGTCCAAACACCCTACATACTAATGCAGATGCCTTCTGTCACAGTTTAGTAGATAGAGCTTCAAACACAGTATTTGGCCGAGAGTGCCCATAGCAAGGTACAGATAATCTTATCTTCTCATACTATCTTGCAATTTTGCTCATCAGGTACGTCATGTTTTCTTGATTATTTCTCCTTCCCTACCTACCCTTTTTGGGATAACAGTACAGATACTAGCATACACAATAGGAGCCTATAGGTATGTTTTTCTGGCCTTCTACGCCTTTCATTAGTGGTCCCGCAAGGCTAACACCCATCCTCAATTCGGAGGTACGGCATCCCCTCGGGCCACATTCATAGCTAGCCGCCTCGCTTGGTTGCATAGAGAGGGCCTCACCTGTCACTCCCATTCTGTCTTATGCTTTTACGAGTCACGGAGACACCGTACCAATTTCAGAGCAGCTAGTAGGGCCTCAGCATGGATAAGTAATACTTTCGCCGCTTGGCATTACCTTTTTATGTTGTAGCATGTCACAAATACCTGAAATAGGAGGCGGCCCCATAATGCGTCGCGCCAGCATGGTATGCAAATAAGCGTTAGAAAAGATAGAATTATTACTCCAACGTGAAAAAAAGCACATATTCCTTCAAAAAAAACACACGTGCAGTTTATTTTAAGCAGACGTGCCTTTGCATATAACCAATGTTTCAGTCCAACTCCTTGACATATTAAAAAAGCTTGGCGATGGGACTGAAATGGTGAATGTATGTAGGGCACAACTAAAAAAATGACGGTATCTTGTTTATTTTGAAGTCCTGTGGGGGCGCTTTTCACTTTAAATATGTTATTGTGTTGGAGTATGCACCTAGCAACAAGACTGGGCCAATATCTGCTCATTACATATGGTATGTATTAATTACATTCTCAGTGTATACATATATATATATAGTACATTAATATATGTGTAAATATAAAAGGAAAATTATATACTATATTACCTAGAAATTATGAAATCAATAATGTATAGGCTTTAAAAAGGTTAATGTCATATAAATAATTTTAAACTAAAAATAAAGAATAAGAAATGGGTAACCATAACTGATCAGAAGTTGTTAATAAGAGTTTGTATAAGATTGCCTTCAAGGGTATCATTGATGCATCTCAGTAATATAGTCACCTGCATCACACAAATGACAGTGATTCTGCCGTGCTGCTTAGTGTGAACATCCAGGCGCCCCTGTGCAGTGAAATTCTTTTAGTGGTTTTTGCTTTTTACACGCCATACAACAATTACATTTGTGTAAACCCTTTTTGTCCAGAAAATCATTAATTTATTAGGTAATTTAAATAAAAAATTGGTAGATGCATTTTAAGGTTAGGGGGCCTCTAAAAATGCTTTTGGTAGTCAGGGCAATTTTTCCAAAATTTCATTTCCTTTAAGGCGCCCAATGTTTTATTAAACGTTTTTT